TTGGCGGGCCCGGGCTGGGGATTCGAACCCGCCACCTTAGGTGTATGTGGCTGGCACCCTAGCCGCTTGAGCCACAGGCGCCGAGCCGATACCCAACCTTCTTAAAGATATTCTACATTTTTTCAGAAGCTTGATTCGTATCCAGCTAATGGCCGATTTTGGTGTATATTGTAGGTACATCTGAAAAGAAGGTATATTTTGCAGTGTTTGACGTTGCTAATCAGATTTCAGTTGTTAATCACATTGTTTAAATACCTTGTTATTTTTATATATGTTGGGGCTTGGTTAAAAGTTGTGTTGATATCTAGAACTGTGAAATCATGTTGATGAATTGATGCTTTTAATTATGAAATATTCCTCTGTCTCTCTAAAAACATTTCTTGATTTAAATGCTTCTGTTTTAGGTATTACTATAGTACACCAATGTTCTGTCCTTTCCTTTTAGCGTTTGCAGTGTGTATCTATTTCTGTTTTAGGTTTTGTTTAAAAAGTATTTATATCTTTATATTTTAGATATGTCTTTTGTAACTATCATATAGTTGTGTATTACTTTATTTATCTAATCAATAATTTGTATTGAAAAAGTCTATTTGCACTTGAGTAATTAACTCATGAATTTTGGTTTAAAGCTATAATGTAACAGCCCCTTTGCCATCTAACCCCCTGTGTTTGTGTCAAAATGATTCAAGACACAGCTTTATGTTGAGGATGTATGTTTTTCTATTTTCTCTAGACACTTTCAGGGGCCTTCTCCTACCCCTGCTCCTAGCTGACCAGAGCAACAGTGGCACAATGATACTACTGAAAATCCCAGTCAGCATCTTAGATTCTTACCACTTTAAATTCTTATCTACTGTTCCTGCTTGGCTTTTAAGACTTTGTCCTCTATAGTGTAGAAATCTTAAATTCCTGGAAAGGACAGCAGAACAGTAAATACACTTTCCTACAGTTCTCTCTCCATGTCCACTGAATTCCTGGCTGCCTCAGTCCCTAGAAGGCCACCTTTTGTGTCTTTAGCTCCCTGGGATTGTCAAAGGCTCTGAGCATTGCTTCCTCCTCAGCCTCTCTGCCTGTGCAGCTTACACTTCCGAGGGAAAAAGGGAGAGAACCCTGCTTTTATTTCTGTCTTGTTCTTTTCTCTCTGGAATTTTGATCCCTCAAGTGTGGGCTACATGAGTTGCATTTTCAGTCCTTTCAAAGAGTTTTTATCAAGCTCTTGAAGTTCTTCTCAAAGACAGATTTGGTCAAATACAAGCCACTCTGTCAAAACTAGAAGTAGAACTTCCCAAATGTTGTGATATTGATATTAATATTTATGAAAAAATATCATTTCTATAACTGTCCCCTGTAAGAGGTCTCTTATTAATTTGTGTACTTCCAAAGTCTCCAGCAGTGTCCTGCTACTAATTAGAGCACCAAGTTTAAAAAATCGTACAAGAAAATCTTGGAAATGATCTGCACTGCTGAAAAAATTTAATTTTGATTGAGAAAATTTGAAATATCACATCATGCTCCAATATTTCCTTAATATTAATTTTACACTGGGGCGGCGCCTGTGGCTCAAAGGAGTAGGGTTCTGGCCCCATATGCTGGAGGTGGCGGGTTCAAACCCAGCCCCGGCCAAAAACTACAATATATATGTATATGTATTTTACACGTTATACAAATATATATATAATATATATAATGTATATATTAATTTTACACCTAACCCAAATTATAAAAATATGCATACTATGGCACTTAACTATAATTTCAGCCCCAAATATTCATTATGTCTCTAAATTATATTTTGCTTTTCCTGGTCATCATCCCAACTGTTGCCTGGCCTTTATCTTATCTGTGATGAAAATCTGGTACAACCTAGATATGAATGGCCCCCGGAATCTGTGCTTTTCTTCACAGCCTCTCCATTGCTCTCTCTCAGGACACACTGGATGCCAGTCTGCAGAGTTTCCAGCAGGAGAGACTTTCTGAGATCACGGACCTGAAGGACCAACTGGTGGCGGCTCAGCACAGCCAGACCAAAGCCATTGAGGAGCGCCATGCTGCCCTGCTGGAACGCTGGGGACAGCTCCTGGAAGCCTCTGCAGCCCACAGACAGGAATTGCTAGAGAAGCAGACACCACTGCAGAAAGTAAGAGAGAAAGGAAAAAAGAAAGAATAAAGAAAAATCAACCGGGTGTGATTGGGCCTCTGTTCCCTGTATAATGCCATGGAATTCAAAACCAGATACTGGACCCCTGTTAGGATAATCTACAGACATTTTAGTGCATTGAAAGGGGTCAAGAAGACGTTCCTACTGAGCAAGAGTAGTTCATTTTTTTTTTAAGTTAATAGGAAGATTCATTTTTCTTAGATTGATTGATCCGTTATACAATTGACTTGAGATGGAACCCAGGCAATTACAGGGGAAGAAGTGGGTGAGACAAGAGGATGGAAGGTCTTTGTGTGTGACAGAATTAAGACTGGCTGGCAGGCAAGTTGTCCTTCCTTACGCTATTCTCAAATAGATGAAGCACTGGACAAATAAGCAGAAAGCATATTTTCAACTTGTATTGACCTTCCCCAGGTAGAGACCTTGTGTATGTGTTAACATATCTCCGAATCTTGATTCTCCCATGTAGGAAATAGGGTAATAGTACCACCCTCTCTTGGGTTTTTGTGTTATTACTATTTAAAAAGACAGAGGGTCTAAAATGCAATATAAGCCCCTAAGTTTCCTATAGATATAGTGAATGAAATGCTATTTATTCTCAGTGTGGCTGCCAAGATATTGGATGTTGATCATAAAAGATATCAATAACAAGCGAAAATCAGTATGATCAGCCCGGGATGGGGAACCTGGGGCCTGGGGGCCACATGTGGCCTTCCAGATCCTTGAGTACAGCCTTTGCCTGAATCCAAATTTTATAGAACTAGTCCTTTTATTACAATGGGTGTGACAGAGAAAGGTGAAGCTTTTCTTGCTTCCTTTGGTGCTGAAAAACAAGAACAATCTTGAAATCAGAACTGGAAACAAGACAGATAGTTAAGGAAATTAGGAAATAAATACACGAGTAAAAATCAGTCTGGATTCTTAGTTAATTTATACTTTATTGAAAAATACAGGACCTACAGAAATAAATCTTAAGTAAAAATCTGAATCAATTAAACGAGCAGCTTTATGCTTATATATGATGCATTCCACGTAGGAAGCTACTTTGTATTCCTACTGATTTTTCTTGATTTTCTAACTATAAGAGGCTTTGTTATTTTGTTTTCTGATTTTAAAATATTTGTAAAATATTCACTCAATACATAACGTTATAAAAATAATATGAAGTACTTCATAGTTTTTTGTGTCTATCCTGTGTAAGGGCCACGTTAATTTTCTCTATAGTGATCTGTCTTAGCATACAGATTGATCAAATGCGACTGCGGTAAGATGTAAGAGCATAATGCCTCTGCAATCCCACCTCCACTTTCTCTTTAACATCCTCGTGTGAGGAAGGAAACTCATTTTTATATTTGCTCAAGATAAATCCCCTTAGAAGTAAAATTTGCCAACCCCAAATCTCTGATGCATCTAAGTTTAAAACTTTCTGATCACTGGCTTTTGGGAACAGCTCATGCTAGTTTTCTCATTCACTAACATAGACAATTTGGTGTTATGCAGAGGAGGTGGGTAACTCCAGGCGGTAATGCAGGGATGCACAGATTGCTGCTCAGGATGCAGGCGAGAGGGCAAGACACAGATGTAAGCACTGGTCTGAAAGTTTTAGACAGGAGATAGCATGCCTGAACAAGGTTTAGAAAAAAGACAGGGTAATAACTTAGTATAGTCTAGGAGAGGTCAGCAGGGTGTGGCCTGCAGGAGCTCAGAGGAGGAAAAGAGGACATGGATAAAGGATAGAACAGATTTTCCCAGTTGTTTATTCAATCATCTTTCCATTCATTCATTCAACATCAATTTTTGTGTGTATATTATGTATCAGGTAGAATTGGAGCACAGACTTTAGAATAAGCAATTGTATCATTGAAAACTACCCTTGCCACTCTTAGAATCTGAGAGCTGCAGCCACATTAGAAGTTATTCAGCCTCCTCATTTGTAAATGATGGAAGCCCTGACTTCATACAGTGAGAAAATGCCAGGCCCAGGGTTTGTGCCTGTAACTCACGTGTCTGTTCATCTGATCACATGGTATCAGCATTAGTTCTGCCCTTTAGATTGTTGACCCTGCAAATACGTGAACACAGTGTTATTTGTATTCTCAGTCTTTTCTTTCTCTGAGAGGTTACTGGGAAAGACAGAGGTGTCTTTATTTTCTCTGCAGGCTGAGGAGCTATTCATGGAATTTGCACACAAAGCCTCAGCTTTCAACAACTGGTGTGAGAATGCCGAAGAAGATGTCTCAGAACCTGTACACTGTGTCTCCCTGAATGGGATCCGGCAGCTGCAGAAGGACCACGAGGACTTCTTGGCCTCCTTAGCTGGGGCTCAAGCAGACTTCAACTATTTACTGGAGCTCGACCAGCAGATTAAGGCCTTAAATGTGCCCTCTAGCCCTTATACCTGGTTGACAGTGGAAGTGCTAGAAAGAATCTGGAAGCACCTGCATGACATCATTAAGGTAACTCAGGGCACAGCAGAAACCTCCTTTGTCTGAAATAAACATGACCACTGAATTTATTATCCAAGTTGGGAGACTTTTGAGAAAGAAAGAAATGCCGTTAATTATGCTGGGTCAACAGTCACGAACTAAGACTATATAACAAAACTGGGAAATAAGTTTTAAACAGGTATACACTGATTCCCCAGTGTGAACAGTCTCATGGTTGTGGGCATTGGAGAATGATTTAAAGTAGCGAACAGAAGTTCCAAGAGATGGTTCTAGTGATGACTTGTGACAAGTTCATGAGGCCTGTATAGATATTCCTCCCCATCCAAGGCACCTGGAAAATTATCCTTTGATGTGCTTACTTGTAATTATCTTCTATCTATAATGATATTTATTATTGAAACTATGAAACATTTAAAACATTTAACAGACAAATTTCACTATAGCATTACCATTTTTTGACCTTATATTCCTTATTTTTTATTTTTGGGGATTCCTTAAGGGTACAAGAAACCAGGTTACACTGATTGCATTTGTTAGGTAAAGTGCCTCTTACCATCATGTCTTGCCCCACCATTTTTAATGGCAACTCTTGCTACTTCCTTTCCCATTAAGGCTGTTTTTTTATGTTTATTTTAATTAAATTTATCCCTCACTTACTTATTACTGGGCTTGGTTTGAGACTCCTGAAAATACTTATGGGAAGTGCCATGAGCTAGCCTCACATTTTGGAGCTCCGAAGAGGTGGGCTACAAGAAATATGAGCACCCAGGCATTGCCTATGGAAGATACATTAGACTGGGAGAAGAAAGACATGCAGCTCAGTCTACCAACCAATTCTTTTATGGCAAACAAAAAGCCTTCAACATGAACCCGTCATGTGCACTGGGGTTTTAGGAACGGGAGCAGGAGCTGCAAAAGGAAGAGGCAAGACAGGTCAAGAACTTTGAGATGTGTCAAGAGTTTGAGCAGAATGCCAGCTCCTTCCTCCAGTGGATCGAGGAGACCAGGTGGGCTATGCAACCTCCAAACCTGTGGGCTCTATGCCACATTCACTATTTACTATAGGGATAAGGGGGTCTCTACAAAAGTTTTGAGACAGAATGTGTTATGCTCCATTATTTCACTTCCAAGAAACAGTCAACAGCATCCTTTCTGATTCACCTGTGCAAGTTTCAACTTGTATGGCTCATTGGTGATGCTGGGAGGGCTTCATTTGTTTCAATCTGTGCAGATTTTACATTTCTTGATTTTTGTGTATCTCAAAACTTAAGTAGCAACCCATGTATATCTGACTGAAAGGGAGAAGAGACGTTCGTACAGCATATACCCTGCTCTAAAAGCAGCCGATCTTGCCTGTGCTTTATATTTGGAATTGACTGTTGTCTGAATCAGTCTGTGCAAAACTAAGAAATAAGATTTTCATCCTTTAACTCATTATGTACCCTTCTCTATTCTCTTCTTGATCTCATCTTTCTTCCTGTTGATTGTAATTTCAGTCCAAAATAATAAAAATCCCTCATGTTTGCCTTGCACATTGCACTTTACAAAGTACTTCCATATCCATTACCTCACTTAACTTTCTGAGCCACCTTGACAAGTGCATGGAGCAGATCTTATTACCTGTAATTCCAAGTATG